CCTCAGGTGATCCGCCCGCCTTGGCCTCCAAAGTGTTTGGATTACAGGCATGAGCCACCACACCTGGCCTAATTTTTGTATTTTTATGGAGACAGGGTTTCTACTAAATCCTATATTTTCAGTAGAGACATCATGTTGGCCAGGATTCTCTCGATCTCCTGACCTCATGATCTGCCCGCCTTGGCCTCCCAAAGTGCCGGGGTTACAAGAGTGAGCCACTGTGCCTGGCTTTTTTTTTTTTTTTTGAGATGGAATCTCCCTCTGTCTCCTAGGCTGGAGTGTAGTGATGTAATCTCGGCTCACTACCACCTCCACCTCCCAGGTTCAAACAATTCTTCTGCCTCAGCCTCCAGTGTAGCTGGGATTACAGGCACCTGCCACCACCCCTGGCTAAGTTTTGTATTTTTAGTAGGGATGGAGTTTCACCATGTTGGCGGTCTTGAACTCCTGACCTCATGATCCACCCACCTTGGCCTCCCAAAGTGCTGGATTTACAGAAGTGAGCCACCACGCCTGACCTAATTCTTATTTTAAATGGATTAAAACTTGTTTTTATGCTAGTATAGTGTCCAGGTAAAGAATATAGTCTCGAAAAAAAAAAAAAAGAAGATGGTGAATATGGTCTCTAGAGTCAGACTGCCTGAGTTTGGATCTTGGCTCTCCCTCTAAACCATTGTGTGATTTGGCTGAAAGTTACTTACCTCTATTCTCTAGTTTCCCCATCTATAAAATGGGAATAAGAGTACCCAGCTCGGGCCGGGCGCGGTGGCTCAAGCCTGTAATCCTAGCACTTTGGGAGGCCGAGGCGGGTGGATCACGAGGTCAAGAGATCGAGACCATCCTGGTCAACACGGTGAAACCCCGTCTCTACTAAAACTGTAAAAAATTAGCTGGGCATGGTGGCGCGTGCCTGTAATCCCAGCGACTCAGGAGGCTGGGGCAGGAGAATTGCCTGAACCCGGGAGGCGGAGGTTGCGGTGAGCCGAGATCGCGCCATTGCACTCCAGCCTGGGTAACAAGAGCGAAGCTCCGTCCCAAAAAAAAAAAAAAATTAAAAAAAAAAAAAAAAGAGTACCCAGCTCACAGATAATTGTGAGAATTATAAAATAATACCTTCGACATGCTCAGGGCACTGCCAAGAATATAGTTAAAGTACTCAACATATTAACTGTTTTAAGAACTTTTCCTTGCTTTTTCAACAATTTCACTCTCTTACTTCTAAATTCAGTTTCTGTTGGTATTCTACCCATGGTACCTGTCTTATACTGCACTGAAAAGCATTTCTCTTCTAACTGCAATATTTTAATGCCTACAGAGTCCTTTCAGTCATTGAACACACGTGATAGAGCACCTATTAGGTTATCAGGCACTCATCCATGTGGTTGGGATATAGCAGTGAATTAGACAAAGTCATTGCCCACATTGAGGGTACATTCATCTTTCCCTAACCTACTTCTTTGTATATTATCAGTCCAATGCATTGTTTGCTGTCTGAAATGCCATCATTCAAGGGCTTTGAGGAGATATGAAAAACATGGTGGTGGAATATACCAGATCCAGGACGATAATAATAAGGCCCAAGAAATACTTTTCGACAAGACCAAAATTAGGCCATGGAGGGGGACTTTCAGTCTGGAGTGATCGAGCTCTAAGGAAGGTGAGTACATGAGGTCAGTACTGTAGTGGACATAACCTGTGCCCTATGCAGGCTCTACCTATTTGTTCCCTTTTTGAAGCTGTGGATTATATAGTTAATCTTTAAATGACTTGCAGATGAGGAAAAACTGAGGCACATCAATAAAATAAATTGTAGGACATCATAAAATTATTAAATGGCAGACACAAGATTTTCCTCAATTTTTAAAAAACTTTATAGAGACAGATGAAGTTTTATCATGTAGCCCAGAGTAGTCTTGAATTCCTGAAGTCAAGCGATCTACCTGCTTCACCCTCCCCAAGTGCTGGGATTACAGGCATGAGCCTCCACACTCAGCCTCCTTTTTTTTTTTGAGATGGAGTTTCCTTCTGTTGCCCCAGCTAGAGTGTAGTGGTGTGTCCTCAGCTCACTGCAGCCTCCACCAACCAGGTTCAATTATATCTCATGCCTCAGCCTGCTGAGTAGCTGTTATTATAGGTGCTACCCCCAGAATCCACAACGCCCAGTGAATTTTTTGTTTTTAGTAAAGATGGGGTTTCATCATATTGGCCAGGCTGGTCTTGAACTCCTGGCCTCAAGTAATCCACCCATCTTGGCCTCCCAAAGTCCTGAAATTACAGGCATGAGCCACCACGCCCAGCCCCAGCCAATTTTTTTTTTTTTTTTTTGAGACAGAGTCTTGCTCTGGTTGCCCAGGATGAAGGGCAATGGCACAATCTCCACTCACTGCTACCTCTGCCTCCCAGGTTCAAATTATTCTCCTGCCTCAGCCTCCCAAGTAGCTGGGATTACAGGCATACGCCACCATGCCCGGCTAATTTTGTATTTTTAATAGAGATGGCATTTATCCATGTTTCTCCATGTTAGTCAGGCTGGTCTCCAACTCCTGACCTCAGGTGATCTGCCCGCCTCAGCCTCCCAAAGTGCTGGGATTACAGTAGTGAGCCACCACACTGGGCCACCCCAGCCGAATTTTTTTATATTTAAGCCTATACACTCTAAAGCCTGGGAGGAGAAATTGAGCCAGGTAACTTGGGCATCTCCTTCCACTCATACAGTTCCCTAGACCACAGAACAGACAGATGTGTCAGATTCATGTTGAGTACTTTGCTATTAAAATTCCCAGTTTTTTTTTTTTTTTTTTTTTTTTTTTTCTTGGACAATGTCTCACTCTGTCAGCCAGGCTATAGTGCAGTGGCATGATCTCGGCTCACTGCAACCTCCATCTCCTGGGTTCAAGCAAACCTCAGCCTCCCAAGTAGCTAGGATTACAGGCATGAACCACCGTGCCCAGCTAATATTTGTATTTTTAGGAGAGATGGGGGTTTTGCCATGCTGGCCAGGCTGGTTTCAAACTCCTGGGCTGAAATGATCCACCTGTCTTGGCCTCCCAAAGTGTTGGGACTATAGGGGTAAACCACTGTGCCCAGCCTAGATATTCTTGTAATTAAAGAATTCTGTAGTTCTCCCATCTGAATGCAAGTCTCTAGAAAGAGGCCCAGAAGTAAGACGCCTAAGCTGGGAGTTAAAGTTGATTATTGTTACTGTTTGTGAACAAAACAGTCCTCTAGACCAGTAAGACTGTATGCTCCATTACAGTAGGGACCGAGCCCTGAAATTGTCTCTGTAGTTCAGTGCAGTGCTGAGCACACTACACTCAACAGAAACTTGATTTTAAAATGATTTTTTTGTTTTTTTGAGACAGAGTTTCACTCTTTTTGCCCAGGCTGGAGTGCAGTGGCACGATCTTGGCTCACCGCAACCTCCAGTTCAAGCAATTCTCCTGCCTCAGCTTCCAGAGTAGCGGGGATTACAGGTGTGTGCTACCATGCTTGACTAATTTTGTATTTTCTGTAGAGATGGGGTTTCTCCATGTTGGTCAGGCTGGTCTCGAACTCCCTACCTCAAATGATCTGCTTGCCTAGGCCTCCTAAAATGGTGGGATACAGGTGTGAGCCACCATGCCCAGCCTTAAAATGATTTAAAAAGGGAGGTCCTCCCTTGGAAAGGTCGTTGGGGGATGAAGCAGGGAGAGGTTTATCCTGGGGACTGGGGTCTGATGAGAAACTGGGGTGGCATGAGAGTTTCCCTCTGAAGAAAGTATCTCCTGGTAGACAAATGGCATTTCCTAACCCCCTTGGTTCCCTTCTGTGCAGCTCCTCAAAGACACTGGAGAAGCATCCTAACATGCTCTAGACGGAACAGGAAAGGGTCCTTTGGCTTGAAAGAATCAGCATCCAGAAGCAGTACCTCCCTCTTCATCCAGTGATCTCCACCCCCGAGAAATGTGCTCTTCTAAATTATTTCCTCCATTGATACGCCTGCTCTCCTTCCCCAAGGCATTTGTTTTGTTGGCTAATTCCCTTTGGTAATTGGTTTGTCACTCTGTTAGGAGTTGTTTCCTGTGTTTATTTCATTATACAGTACAAAAAGAGAGAGCGCTCTTGAGTGGACCAAAGGGATAAGGAAGATGGTGCATGTTTTCCTGATGTCTACATAGAGCAAGTGCCTTAATCTTTTTTTTTTTTTTTTTGAGACGGAGTTTCGCTCATGTTACCCAGGCTGGAGTGCAATGGCGCGATCTCGGCTCACCGCAACCTCCGCCTCCCGGGTTCAGGCAATTCTCCTGCCTCAGCCTCCTGAGTAGCTGGGATTACAGGCACGCACCACCATGCCCAGCTGATTTTTTGTATTTTTAGTAGAGACGGGGTTTCACCGTGTTGACCAGGATGGTCTCGATCTCTTGACCTCGTGATCCACCCGCCTCGGCCTCCCAAAGTGCGGGGATTACAGGCGTGAGCCACCGTGCCCGGCCGTGCCTTAATCTTTGCCCCTATCTTCCTGGTGCTGTTGCCAGGCTGAGACCCTGGTTGGAGGAATAAAGCCTGCAGCTAGAGCAACTAAGGCAGCCTAGGATGACTGCCAGGGCCCCCAGGATGCATGAGGGCTGCCAACACCAACTACTGGGGAGAGGATTGTTGTTCCTGTGGAGGTGCTGGAGGTTGGTGGGGGGAAGGTGGAAGAGAGGAAATAAGGCAGAGATGAGCTCAGGGCCCCCAGAGAATGGAGCCTTTGTGTGGGGTACAGATGAGGGACAAGGGGGTGATTGTATGGGAGGGCCGGAAGTGCCACACAGACTGGCACCACCATAGTCAGCACCAGATTCACCCTTCTGCTCTGAGAACTCCCTGTGCCCCAAGGGGCCAGTCCCAGACATGGTCAGGGGAAGCAGGGTATGCCTGAAGACTATAAAGGATGGGAAGCTGGAAAGGCAGATATATAGCCAAGGGAAAATGAGAGGTATCCCCTATTACCCACACCCAGGGAACAGGAGGCCGAAGGGAAAAGACAGAAGCAGCTTTTACTATATTTACATCCAACAAAACTTCGCAGGGAACAATCCTTATTGCACAGGTCAGGGCCTGGGTGGGTGAGGCATTCCCCAAGGTGGGGCGAGCAAGAAAAATTTGGACTGGAGGGGACACCAGTTCTTCCTACGGAGAGCTTGAGACTCCTCTAGCTCCCAATACCTGACTTTGGAACTACAAACCACCAGACCATGGTGCCCTATTTCCCTTCTCTTTCTCACTCTCCATAAGAACCTCATAAGCAAGGGGGCTGTGGCTCCAAAATAAATAACTTAAAATAAAATACAAACACTCAGGTAGAAAAGCATGGAGAGCCTTGGGCTCCTTCAGCAATGCCAGGGAAGAGGGACCATTATTGGTGGAGAATGAGCTCCCTACCTCCCTTTCAGGGCAAAGGCTCAGTAGCTCTGCATCTTTCCAGTTGTTTTTTAAAACAAAAACTTTTAAAATGACCAGGGCAATGCAGATCTGTGGGTACCCTGGAGGGGAGTTCCTGGTATAGGACAAGGGAAGAACAGAGCTGTACCAACACCCCTAGATCTCCCCCAACATCAGCATGAACAAACTGGGTAGGTTGGAGACGGGGGAATCAGGACTTTTGGTAACAGTGGGTCCCTCTTCCTGCTGTCCTCGATTGGAGCCTTTGACTGGGCATGCTTCCCAGCCTATTCCCAACTCCATGAAGGAAACAGGGACGCAGGTTAACTCTAGAATCCCTTCTCCCTCATTTCCCCACCCCAGGCTGGAGAGGGAGGATTAAGGGTCTCTAGCATTCTGGAGGTGCTCCAAAACATTTTCGGCAGTCAATGGCCTTGGGAGTGGGCATCTGTGCCCGCCGCTGCCTCAGTTCCTCCTTGCCCATGCTGCTGGCCAGCTTGTTAAAGGCAGACTTGTACTTCTTATCGAAGGCCACTAGGGAAGAAGGTGGAAGTCAATACATTAGGACCCCGGCCTCCCACACCTGGCCCCAGATCCCTAAATTCCTCAGCACCTTGCCTGCTCCCTCACCTATGTCCACATGGTCCTTGCCCAGAGCAGCCATTGTCAGGAATAAGATCTCACGGTAGATTCCCCTATGGTGGAGGCAGAAGTATATGAGCAAGGTAAAAGGGGTGCAGAGCCCGGGACAGGCCAGGGACCACCCAGATGGCAGCATCATACCTCTGCAGGTGCAGGCCAGTGGGTGGGGGCCCTAGAGTTTCCAGCAGGAGCCCCACAGCCTTGTGCACTTCATTGAGTCCAACATGGCGCAGCACCGACTCCAACAATGCCAAACTAAGGGATGCGGGTACTGGGCCTGGCCATACCACCCGCTGGGGGATCTGGCCTGAATGAAAGGAAAGAAAGCCACCAGGATCACTGAGCCCTCTGGGTATAGGACCCACCCTCCCAGCCCAGGCCAAATACCAGACTCACTGTGGACCCTCCAGAGCACATAGAGAGGTGGGCAGCTATTGGGGTCAGGGGTCAGTACATCCCACAGCAGCCGTACCTGAACAGAGGCTGGATCAGGGGTTAGCCAAGGAGATGGGGCCTGAGGGAGCCAAGATAGGGGAGACAGTTAGGCTCAAGGGATGGGAGGCAGAGGATAAGAAATGGACAGGTGGTGCCAAAGAGACAGTGGGACACTACAGGACACAGCCAAAAAAAAGAGGGAAAGGAATTCTCATTCCCTCAAGAATGTAAGCTCTTGAGAGCAAGGACTGTTCTGTAATCTGCTGCATAACTAGTACTTAAAACTGCCTGGAACATAAAAAGCACTCAATACTGGTGGAACGAACAGACAACATGAATGAATCATTTTTTAGGTACCAGGCTCTGCACAAGGTTGTCTATACACCCGCCCAGTGAGGTAGGTGCTTATGCCATTTTACAGATGACAAAATTGAGGCTCAGAGTGGTAAAGTGAAGGGCCAAGATTCAAACCAGGTGGAACAGACTCCACAGCCCATGTTCTTTCTACAATGCCAAGGACACAGCGGATGAACAGCTGAGAGATGAGGAGGGAGGCACTTAGGAAACAGGGGCCACATGGGGGCACCGACCTGGGGGTGTGAAGGCCCATCACAGGAGGCCAGCACCAGGCCTGGTAGAATACTGGGCAGGCGTAGCCGTTGGAAATACCACAGAAGGTTCCAGAAGATGATAGGGTGGGCAGAGGGCAGCTCAGGCAATGCCAGCACCTCACTGCCCTCATTCTCTACCAGTGACTCCAGCTCCTTACGCAGCACCAGGGGGCTCAGGTATGCCCATGCCGCACTCTCAACCCGTCGGGAGGCTCCCTATCAGGCACAAAGGGGGAGGGCAGTAGAGGGAATGTACATCCCCAGAGCCTTGCCTCTCACTGAGCCACCACATCCAATAGCTTCTGGGATGCCCCTTGCCCTTAAAGGAAACAGATGTGCCCATCTCTCCCTGGCACCCCACAGGCCCCACACAGGGCAACAATCCCATTCCTCATGCCCGTTGGCCCAGCCCTTACCCCCATGTGCCCATTGCAGAGCTGGGGCTCATCCAGAGCAAGGCAGAGCCTGCGGTCACTGAGCACAGGACCAGGACCCCCAGGGACAGGAGCATCTCTGCTGCCACTGGCACCAGCAGGCTTGGGGCTGGGAACACTGCAGGGGGACAGCAGCAGGGGTCAGCTCTTGGACCTTCGCCTCCCTACCCCACCCACAGCACTTGCCCTGCCTTGGGCACCTGGGGCGGGAATCAAGGGTCTGGACACTGAGCAGGGGCACAAAGGGGCAGGCGCAGAAGGGGCAGGTTGTGTTGAGGTTAGAGTCATCAGGTGCCCAGCCAGCCATGATTTCTTCATCGTACACCAGCGAATCACAGGCGCGGCACAGGGAGCAGCTGGACAGCAGAATCTGTGGGCAAGGAGAGCCGGGAAGTAGGCCCTGTCTGGCTGCCAGCGCTCTGGAGCCCATGCCCCTGCCCCAGGCCTTCCCACCTCCTTCCCATCTCCTGCCTTTGACAGGGTGACTGTGTGCTTTGTGTGTTCAAGCACATCTGTGTGGGAGGGGTTATCCTTACTTCCAGGGAAGGTGACTGGCAGGATCCAGGGGTATCACTGAGGCGCTCTGAGGAACGGCGAAGACTCAGGTTGCTGAGAGAAGATTCTGAGAGGTCCCACTCACTGCCCAGAGAGGCCGAGCTCTGCCATGACATGAGAAACCATGGTCAGCCAACCCCATGCTCTTCTACCCAAGAGCCCCCTTTTTGGACATTCTTCCAGTTGTAGCCCTCCCCAAGCCCGCTAATGCTAAGGTGTCTGGACCCTCCTTCGCTGGCTACCTCAGAGGCAGTGGATCCAGGACGCTCCCGGGGGTGCAGAAGGCTGTCCATGGGGCTGCGGCGGGCTGGGGGTGGCAGGTCAGGAGGCAGCTCAGGTGGGGGAATGCGGGAAGTGGGGGAGTGGCGGGAAGGAGTAAGCAGCTGTTGGAGGTGGGCACCCAGCCCTCGCCGGGGGGTGCCTGCCTCATCCTGTCGCCCGCCAGCCTTGGGTCCCCGCCCACTCAGCCCTTCCAGGGCCTCAGTGGACTGGGCACTCAGGGCTGAGCCGGAGCCACCTGGGCTGCCTCCAGGGACTGGCTCTTCCCCTGTCAGGCTCAGGTCTGAGAGACTTCCATCATGCCAGGGCACAGGTGATCTCCGGGGTTCCAGGACCCCCAAGGCCTCTATCACTGCAGCACAGAAAAGAATGAGGGAAGATAGAGCCCAGCCTCTCCACCAGCTTCCCCTTTCCTGAGTAAACACAATTCCTGGCTGCACAAACTCTGGAGCCACAACCCCCACCATGATGACATTCTGGGCAGGATTCCCTGAGTCTACAGCACCCACCACAGAGGGCTGTCCTCCACTCTGTCTCTAGTCTTCCCTGCCTCACTAGCAGGTGGTTAGAAAAGTTGATTGGGGGAGTAGGGGAGCCAGACAAGGGCACTCACTGTGGGCCACACCAGCCTCTACAGTGGGCTGTGCCCCTCGGGCACTGCCCAGGCTACCACTCTTCACCAGGCGCCCAGGGGGTGAGGCCGGGTCTCTCAGACTTCGCCCAGCCCAAGTAGTCTGGCGCTGAAGGGTGCGAGTAGGGGAAGGGCGCTCCAGATAGGGCTCTGTAAAAGACGAGAAGGGGTTTAGAGGCGGCCGACTAGGAACCGAGTCCCCTGTTCCAAAATAGAGCTCCTTAGATGGACCTGGGTTTGCAGGGTTCCTCCCAGGCAAAACTTTATCCATTTGGTTGCCAGCCACATGTAATTTATCAATCCCCGGAAACCAAATGCCAACCATTAGACCAGCCCCAGCCCTCCATGCCTTTCCCTGCCTGAGCCCAGCTACTCCATCCCCAAGCCTGTCTCACCAGGCCCTACCCACCGGCCTGGGAGCTGCCTGCGTCTTGCTGAGCTGACACCTGCTGCTGCTGCTGCTCCTGCTGCTGCTGCTGTCGCCGTTCTCTCAAGGGCTGGCGGAACTGAGCAGCCCCCAGGACAACATTCCGGAGCTTGGCCCAGCGCAGGCGCCCACCTGGTGTGCCAGACGGCCACTTGCTTTCCAGCACAGCCTACCAAGCACAGTGCCCATCAGGATGGCCCACTCCCGCACCCTGACCCTGCCTCATACCCACTCCCTGTCCTGGAGCCCCAGGGACCACCTTCCCTTGCAGACATCCTGCCTAGGATTGTCCTGCCAATGGCTCAGCCAGGAACAAGAACCCAGAAGAGAGAGTAGGCAGCAGCTGCCTCCCAAGGAGCCTAGAAGAAGCCAGTGGCAATGGAGAAAATGTGTAGCCAGACTCTGCTGCTTACAAATATAAACTATATGGCTCTGAAGAAATCATTTATTTGGTTATTAGTTTCCTCATCTAAAAAACAGGAGGCAGTTTATTATCATGGCTAAAGGGCTGAATTCAGGAGATATGGATATGCCTCTGCCCATATTCTTTTTTTTTTTTTTTTCCTGAGAATGGCATTTCACTCTTGTCATCCAGGCCAGAGCGCAGTACAGTGGTGCGATCTCAGCTCACTGCAACCTCTGCCTCCCAGGTTCAAGTAATTCTCCTGCCTCAGTTCCTGTGTAGCTGGGATTACAGGTGCCCACCACCATGCCCAGCTAATTTTTGTATTTTTAGCAGAGACAGGGTTTCACCATTTTGGCCAGGCTGGTCTCGAACTCCTGACTTCAGGTGATCTGCCTGCCTTGGCCTCCTAAAGTGTTGGGATTACAGATGTGAGCCACCTCGCCCAGCCCTGTGCCCATATTCTAAGTCCTTAACTTCTTTGCTGCGGGACCTGGGACAAGTTGCTAACTCTCTGCAGCCTCATCTCCTCATTTGTAAGATGGGGATAACAATCATCCCACCTCATAGGGCCATTGTGAAGATAAGATGATGTAAAATGTGTGATGCCTATGGACCAGTGCCTGGCTTAGCGGCTAACACTATTAGTTGCAGACAGGGCTGTCATTAGTGGGAATCAAAGTAGCCTCCTCTGAGAAACTGTAGGTGCTAAGGCACCACAGGAACGCACTGTGGATGACAGTGGTTCCAGGACCTAGGCAAACGGTACCAACCCAATCTCCAAGGAGCGAGGGAAGCAGCAGCATCCTCCCCTCACACACCCTGGCACAGCTGCCATCCCACCCTCACCCCAAAGTAGGTACCTTATTGTAGTATCCATAGGTGATGGTGTTGGGCACAATGCCTGCTTGCCGCATCTCCAGCATGACCCGCACAGACAGCACAGGCTGCCCATAGTGTGAGCAGAGCTGCATCAGCACCCGGTAACACACCTGGGCCAGGAGAGGGACAGGACAACAGGAGACTCACTCCCAACCAAAACCAAAGTCTCAGCAAGCACCCTCTTCCATCCTCCCAATTCTCACAGACATCACTGGCCCCTGGCAGGTCCTGGGGCTGCCTCAGAGCCACCCACCCATTCTGCTGACCCTGCCACTCTACAGTCTCCACTGCTATACCCTGAACATGCTTATTCACTCGACGAATGTTTACAGATAACCTGCCCAGCTCTGGGGCTCTACAACTTCTTTCCTTAGTCTCCACCAAGTTTCCCTCTCACAGCCCCCTCCAGCTGCACGTGGCTCACTGGGCCTGGGTGTGGGCGTGGCCACACAGATTGCCTACCTCGTCAGGGAGCACCACCTTGCCGCTCTCCATCTGGCGCAGCACATGGTAGGCTGTGTGCAGGGCCTGTACCCGGGAGGGTGCCGACCGCACATAGGCGGGCAGACAGAGGAACCACAGCCCATAGCAGTGCCCCAGCAGGCACCGGGCCCATAGCTCAGGCACAGCTGCTGACTTCTGTGCCATCCGCTGTGCAACCTTCATCTCCTAGGTAGGATAGGGGACACATCAGGGTGAGTACAATGCCAGGTTATTTTTATTATTTATTTACTTATTTATTAAGACAGGGTCTTTCTCTGTCACCCAGGCTGGAGTGCAGTGGTGCCATCTCGGCTCACTGAAGGCTCAACCTCCTGGGCTCAAGCGATTCTCCCACCTCAGCCTCCCAAGTAGCTGGGATTACGGGCACACACCACCACGCCTGCCTAATTGTTTTGTACTCTTTGTAGAGACAGGGTTTTGCCATGTTGCCCAGGCTGGTCACAAATTCCTGGGCTCAAGTGATCTGCCCATCTCAGCCTCTCAAAATGCTGAGATTAAAGGCATGAGCCACCAGGACAGACATTGAAATGGTGTGGGGAGAAGTAGCACCTGTGAGGAAGTCTGTGCCCTGAGGAGGAGGAAGGATGCTGTACTCCGAAGACTGCAGCCCTGCCTGGAGCCTCGTGCAGAGAGGCTGGCCCTGGACCATGGGCAGGTGCCATAGAAGACATGGCCAGCCCCTGGATTCCCAGAGTGCTCAGAAGATGAAGGTGATGACAATGATGATATGACACTGATAATGGCAACTAATGTTTATACGGGGTTGGTTATGTGCTAAGCACATTTAAACTCCTAACAACCTCATGGGGTAAGTACTATTATTGTCCCCATTTTACAGATGAGGAAACTGAAGCAGCAGCCCTCAGCCTGATCCAGGTCCCTCAATTCGGTCCACCCACTGCTTACCTGTTTGGTACGGCGAGGAGCAGGACTGCTGGGGGCACTACGGGAAGGGCCCGGCACAGGCAGGGCCCCAGGCTGCTCCTGAAGAGACTCAAACAGCTCAGCCCGTAGCTCTGGGAACCCATCGTAGCTGGAGGGCAGAGAGCAACATCAGGGCAAGCAGCAAAGGGCCAGGCAAGTTGGACCGGACCAGCCTATGGTCCACGTGAGGGAACAAAAGACTCACCAGTACTGGGGAGTGGAATCACTGCCCTCTGGTACGGGAGGCTCCTCGGGAGGTGTGATAAAGACAGTGAGCTCACTTCCCGACAGCTCCTCAAGCTCCACTAAGGGTGTCGGCTCAGGCTTCTCCTGCTCTGGGTGGACCTGGAGAAGGATCATAAGAGAGCGGGTGTTGAGACGGTGGGCATGGAGCAGAGCCAGGGTGTCCAGATAATGGCATCTCTCAGGAGAGCTCATCTACAGGGAAGGAGATACAGCCTGGGAAGACGGAGAGTCAGGAACGGGAGGGTAGTAAGTCACATGTATGGAGCCAGCTGTGTATGGCTGCACAGGTTGTGCACTGTATAACTCCAGGAGTGCCATCCAAGTGGCAGTTCAGATATAGAGTTGTGTTTAAAATGGCCCTGGGGCCAGACACAGTGGCTGATGCCTGTAATCTCAGCGCTTTGGGAGGCTGAGGCCAGCGGATCACTTGAGGCCTGGAGTTCAAGACCAGCTTGGCCAATGTGTCAAGTAGAAACCTGTTCCTACTAAAAATACAAAAATTAGCTTGGCGTGTTGGCACGAACCTATAATACCAGCTACTGGGGAGACTGAGGCAGGAGACTAACTTGAACCAGGGAGTTGGAGATTGCAGTGAGCTGAGATTATGCCACTGTGCTCCAGTCTGGGAGACGGCAAAACTCTATCTCAAAAAAAAAAAAAAATTAAAATTAAAAAGTTAAATAAATAAAATAAAATGGCCCTGGGGTCTACAGCCTGAACATGCCCAATCCTGTCTAAAATGGCCTGGGGGCAAGAGAGACAGTGAGAGAGAACAGAGGCCAGTGAGTACACAGAAGGGATGATACCTTGTCAACGCAAGAGTCGAAGAATTCGAGGGCAGCATGGCGAGCAGAGCCGAAAGAGCACTCCTCAATGAACTGTGAGAACATCTGTGTGTGCAGCAGCTGAGAGTAAAGTTTGTGGCTGGAGCGTTCCCGGGATTTGAGGAAGCCTGAAGGGGACAGGAATGGGGCAGAGGAGGGAGGTGACCAGGGCTCCCCACCATAGCCATAGCTTTTTTAAATCTCTTCTTGGCTGCCTGCCTACTCAGGCCCAAGGCCATCATCTCTTGGACCCTCTGGCACAACTACCCTCATACCAAGCTGAGCAGCTCAGCACCCCCAGCATGATGGTCCTAGGGAATCCCTCCCTTTGTGTGCCTGTGCCCACTGCCTCAGGCTGGGGTATCTCCAAGGGCAGGGTCCCTGCACAGAGCTTTGCCCATGGGAGCTGCTCACCACAGGGATTACTATGTCTACCCCAAGGCGGGGACTCCAAAGGGTAGGACCACAGCTGGTTCATCTTTGTAAACTAATTCCCCACAAGAGTGAATGTCTCAAAGCAGGTGTCCATAGAAACATTTGTTGGCCGGGCGCGGTAGCTCACACCTGTAATCCCAGCACTTTGGGAGGCCAAGGTGGGTGGATCATGGAGTCAGGAGATGGAGATCATCCTGGCCAACATGGTGAAGCCCTGTCTCTACTAAAAATACAGAAATTAGCTGGGTGTGGTGGTGGGTGCTTATAATCTCAGCTACACGGGAGGCTGAGAATTGCTGAACCAGGGAGTCAGAGATTGCAGTGAACCGAGATGGTGCCACTACATTCCAGCCTGGCAACAGAGTGAGACTCCATCTCAAAAACAACAGCAACAACAACAAAAAAAACAATGGTGTGGCTGCCAGCCCCCTCTTCCTTTCTGACAGAGCCTGCCCCTTGCCACCTCCTTCCATGATACCATCTCCCAGCAGAAGACAGGCCCTCCATACCCTGCAGGAAGAAAAGGTTGTCAACATCACGAGCTCCCTCGGACGGGGCCTGGGTGAGTGGGCGCAGGAAGACTCGGTAGCCCTTGAGCAGACAGGCCATGAAGCGGAGGAAGGCTCCTTGGACTTCACGTTCTAGCCGGGCCCGGCGGCCACACACTGCCTCGTAGTCTGTCAGTAGGAACTCCAGGGACGCCTCCTCCTCAGGTCCAGTGTATGCTGGGGGCCAGTGCAGCTTGAGAGTCAGGGCTGGCTCTCATAGTGTTAGCCTCAACTCTGCCCTCGCAGCCTCCATCCCCACCTCCAGCCTCTGACAGACCTTGCACCAGTAGCAACGAAAACATTACTTTCAGCTACAGGTTCAAGCTCGACATGTCCCACATGTTCAGGAATACTGTCTGCCCCTCCTTCTAGCTTCAGCTGGAATTGTAACCTCCCTCATTTCCACAAAACGTAATCTTTTATTTTTCCTTTTTTAAAAAATTAAATTTTTTTTTTTTTCCTTTTTAAAGATGGGGTTTCACCATGTTGGTCAGGCTGGTCTTGAACTCCCGACCTCAGGTGATCTGCCCGCCTTGGCCTCCAAAGTGCTTGGATTGCAAGCGTGAGCCACCACGCCCGGCCACGAAATGCAATCCTAACTCTGCTCACTTCCTCAAGAAATGCCTAGCTCCTCACAGACCTCCGCAAACTGGAGGTTTGAGGCCAAGGACAGTTCCCTGCCTCCCTCCCCACCCAGGCTTCTCACTCTGGTCCAGCTGCTGGTACAGGTTTGTCAGTGTGGCCAGCAGAACCTTGTAGGGTCTGCGGGGCAGGATCCGAGGGGAGAGGAGCTTCTTTTCCTCAGTCCTGTGAGAGAAGCATAAGGGGAAGGAGTGGCAAGGCTCTGGGGAAAGGGTGACAGGGCTCCTTGCCAGCCTCCCCCACTTTGTGCCTGAAGCTCCTTTTGAGCCCGTAGCGCTCCACACACCAGCCCATTCCTGCCCACCACCCAGCAGCCGCCAAATGAGACCCAGCCTCTTACTGGAAGAGCGTGTTGGTATCAAGGTCAACACAGATGACATCAGCAGGAGGGTCATGCAAATCAAAGTAGCTGGAGTGGATACCCACAATGAATGGCACAGGGGCACTCAGCACATCTGCCAGTACCAGCGGGCACAGCGGAATGTAGGGGCACTGCCAGTGCAGTGGGAAGATCATCTGAAGCACCAGGCAGTGACAACCAGTGAGCAGGCGGTTGAGGCAGCAGTTGGGGGCACAGGAGAGAGAGAGAGGGCATTGGCCTTGGTGAGTTGGTGCCTGCTGAGACAGGCTGTTGGAAGTAGGCTCTAGAGAAGAGCCCCTGATGGAAGCTATGCATCCCTGCAGTCTGTGCCCAGGAAAAGGGGCTAAGGATCCTCCCCAAGGAAGGAAAAGGGAAGAGTCCAGGCAGGGATAGGGGCACCAGAAAGAACCATAGTTCTAGGGAAGGTGGGCCAGGCAGGGCGGCACTCACCGAGACGAGGGCCTCACAGACGCTGGTGAGCAGGTCTGGCCGCAGCGAGTGGACCAGCAGCTTATGCTCTGTGAGCACAGCCAGCAGCAGTGTGATAGCCAGCTCAGGGCCCAGGCTCTGCAGCAGCTGCAGGAAGCTGGCACCACTGCAGGCAATGCCAAGGTGGGGAAATGGTCACCAGGAGACCCTGGAGACCTTCCCCATTTGCCAGGCACAGCTACCACCTGGACCCAGCTTGCATCAACCTCAGCAGCCACACCCACCTGCCCGGCACCTACCATGTCCTCGGTCATTAACGCTCCCTCCCCACAACCTGAGCACATACCTGAGGGGCAGGGGTGAGGATACCGGCTGACAGAGGAGCAGGTTGTCATGGGGAGACATCTGGGAGGGAAGAAGACACGGCTCAGGGTAATGATGCCAACCCCCCTCCTTCCCTCAGCCCAGCCCCAGCCGCAGCTCTCACCTGCACTAGGATGCGGGGTCTCTGTGGGGAAGGGAAGGGGACGTTGTGAATGAAGTGGGAGATGTGCCTGGGGGACAGAAACACAGGTCAGAGCACACTCCCCAGTCCAGCCCTGTCCTACCTCCACCTCTTCTCAGCTCTTCCACCTGTTCTCAAGAACCTTATTCCTTCCTGAACCCCACTTTGAGACCTGTGTCAGCCAATGGAGCCTCCATTATGCATATAATTTGTGCAGATCAGAAAAGAGATCCTCCCTGGGCATACACAGTCCCTTGGCAGGACCTAACTAGAAAGTTGAGACTGGATTTCAGGCGCTGCTCCCCTCCTCAGCCCATTGCAATTTTTGCAATGGACGAGCGGTACAATACAACCATGTACGGCAGCCCTGTCCCTTACCCCGGGCCCAGCCCTCCCCTCACCCACATCTGAATCTCTCACATCTCTCCTGGCCCCCTTATTCCTTCCTAACCCCTTCCCAATAGTACAGGAGCCACGCTCACGCTTCCAAGGGCAGGCGGTGGGGGCCTGAGACGGAGTAGCGGTAAAGGAAGGTAAGGAAGGCGCGGAAGGCAGGGAAGGCAGGCCAGCGGGACAGTACAGCGATGGCGCGCCGGCTGCGCACATCTCTGCCCCCCAGTGCCCGGCCCCGCTCCACGGCGCTCAGCAGGCCCAGTGCCCGTGCCTGCCGCTCTGACAGCCTGGCCCTCGGGAACGCCTCGTAGAACTGCAGGGCGGCACCATACACCTGGCAGGGGGCAGAGGGGTGGTCAGGCAGGCCCTGCATAGCCCAGACCCCTTGCCACACTCCACACACCCACCTTATCACCAGCTGCACCCGTGAGCACAAAGGTGGAGAAGACGGGCACGGGGTACTTGGTCTGGGTAGGCCAGCACTCGATAGTGGCCCCCATGGGCAGGCAGAAGACGGGCACTGACTCGGGCAGCGGGAACGCCTCATTGTCCTCCTCCGGGTAGCGGCCCAGCAGCTCTGCACCCCCAGCAGAGTTGGGGGTACCCAAGAGGAGCAGGGTCCATCAGACTCCAAGGGAAAGAAACCAGGGGATCCCAGAGAAGGCCCAACTTGCAAAGGGGAAGTCAATTCCGGGGACACTTAAGGTGCCTGCCAAGAGGCACCAGGGCAAAGGGATGTAGGGTCACAGGGCTGGAGGGATAAAGGGGCCACTCACCTGCCTCGTACACCAGCGTGTTGGCCTTCGCCAGGCCCACCTTATAGCACAGGTACACTGCTGGGCCCCACTACCCCAGAAATGGTAAGAGACAAGCAGACACACAGCTAACACAGGTTTCTGGGGGCCATTTTCTCTCTACCATACCTAAATGTTCTTTTGTCTTTAAAGCTCCCATTAATCCCAGTGCCCCAAAACCAGAGTTACCCCTCTGGACCCACCCCTGTGGTCAGAGCCTTGGTCCTGGGATGCCCTTTGTTCCCAGTGTCCACACCCACCCTTACACCAAGAGGGTCCAGGTATGAACTCTTGGTCCCACTCACCATGCCAGGGTTGAGGTTGCGGGGCAGCCGGCAGTAAGTATGAGGAGTGCCCTCGCCCTTACTGGGCAGCACCAGGCAGAGGTCAGTGATGCCTAGGGCATGCAGCCCTGCCCCCTCTGCTGCCCGCCGGTAAGTGAGGTAGGTGCGGGGGTGCCCGGGGCCTGGAGGGGCCAGGTTTGCTGAGTGGCTGTAGGGTGTCGTGTCAAGCACATGGAAGCCGGGCTTGGGACGTTCCTTCCCCTCATACAACACCCTTAGCACAGAGAGCAGAGAGAGATGTCGGGAGGTCAGGGTAGAGGACAAAGACCCAATCCAGCCACATCTGCCTACCTAGCCCCCTAAACCCACCTTGCACCCGCAGCCTTATCAAACTCTAACACCAGGGCCCACCTCTTCCTGCTGAACTCTGTCCTTCAGAATCCTGTGCCCTCTCTTATGCCTTTGGCCTTATTTCGTGGTGAGTAACAACCTTGCATGCCTTCTATGGCTCTCATTAATAAACACTAAGAATCAGCTGGGCACGGTGATTCATGCCTGTAATCCCAGCACTTTGGGAGGCAGAGACAGGTGGATCACCTGAAGTCAGCCGTTCAAAGCCAGCCTAGCCAACCTGGTGAAACCCTGTCTTTACTAAAAATACAAAAATTAGCTGGGCATGATGGCTCGTGGCTGTAGTCCCAGCTACTCAGGAGGCTGAAGCAGGAGAATCGTTTGCACCTGGGAAACAGAGGTTGCAGTGAGCTGAGATTGTGCCACCACACTCCAACCTGGGCAACAAAGCGAGACTCTTGTCTAAAAAAAATAAAAATAGGCCGAGTGCAGTGGCTCACGCCTGTAATCTCAGCACTTTGGGAGGCCGAGGTGGGCGGATCACCTGAGGTCAGGAGTTCAAGACCAGCCTGGCCAACAAGGTAAAACTCCGTCTTAAAAAATAAATAAATAAATACAATTTTAAAAAATAAAAATAAACAAGATGGGGTACTGTAGCTTATGCCTGTAATCCCAGCACTTTGGGAGGCTAAGGCGGACAGATCACAAGATAAGGAGTTCAAGACCAGCCTGGCCAACATAGTAAAACACCATCTCTACTAAAAATACAAAAATTAGCTGGGTGTGGGGGCACACACCTGTAGTCCCAGCTACTTGGGAGGCTGAGGCAGGAGAATCACTTGAACCTGGGAGATGGAGGTTGCAGTAAGCCAAGACCACGCCATTGCACTCCAGCCTGGTGACAGAGCGAGACTCCATCTCAAAAAAAAAAAAAAAAAAAAAGGAATACAAGCTATCACTGACTGACTCCGTGCTAAGTCTGTCACATGGGTTATCTCATTTAATCTCGATCATCCTAAGAGGATGAATTATTTTCCCCAATTGACAGATGAGGAAAACAGGCCAGAGGGGCTCAAAAACCTGCCTAAGCTCTCAGAGCTAGCAAGGAGCAGCACTAGCACATGAATTCGAATCTGTGAGGACTAAGTACATACAACTTCAGTCCTTCCTACCCGGCCTCTGGCCCACCCAGCTCCCATCTCCACTGCCCTTCCCTGTTCCATAGTCCTACCTCTCCCTATCTCACTGGAGTCCCTCCCAGCCTCCCTTGGTGCCAGGATGGGTAGGGGCACCCACCCCAGCTCAACGAGGGGGGGCTTGTCACGACCCCTGCGGTAGCAGATGACGGGTTGAGTTCCACCCAGAAGCCCAGCACTGAGTTCCAAGGGGTGGCCCCCGGCGGAAGCCTGGATGCATGTGTAGCCCTGGGGCACCTCCTCGCCCAGTGCCCTAGCGATGACTGCCACATCTGTGATGGGCTCAGCTGGCCGGGGAGGGCGCAGGGGCCCACTGGGTTCGGGAACCCACGTTTCCTCAGGGATGGGTGCTCCGTTCCCTGCAAGCCCAGCTACCACGAAGTAATCCACCAGCCGGGGGGGCCGCTCCTCCGCCATGGCCCCCCCCTCACTCACTGCATCTGGAATGGTCAAGTGGAAGAGAGATGAAGCAAGGAAGGCTGGGGATTCCATGGCAACCAGGGTGCCCTCTTGCTCCCCTCCTCTTCCTAGTCCTTCCAAAGAAAGGCAGGATAAGGGGCCGGCCAATCCTGAACTCTCCCGCCTGTGACATCACCAGGCTCTCACTGCCCACCACAGCTTCTTAAAGAGACCAGGTCCCTCCCGCCTAGTGGTCCTGGCGTTCTCCTCAAAGAACCTCGACTCCACCACACACAGCTAACCTGGGCTTTGACATCACATTGTCCATGTGTCCCTTTTAAAAGCTAACCAGTTATAACATCACAGAGATCACAATGTTGTCTGTAATAGCCTTCCATGACATCATTCATGCTGGTCATGACATCATACCAACCTGACAGTTTTTTTTAAGGGTTTCTGACCTCCCTACTCCAGTTTTGACACCATAAGAACCTTGTGATCCTGCCAATGTTCTTAAAGAGCCCACTCCGAGGTTTCTAAGGTTTCTGAGAAAGCCCACAGAGCCAAAGTTTTAGTCTTTTCAAAGAACCCAAGTGTCCTTTCTCCTAGCTTAACTCCACCAGTCTGGCCCAAAAAACAGTGTTCTCACACCTCCAGGATCCTTAGGTAGCTCATTAGATCCAAAGTGGCTGCAAGAGACAAGTCCCAGCCATCCCACACCCTCCACCATGGAGCCGAGAGACAGAAACAGGCAGGCCCACAACAGTCTACAACAGTCTAGTTCTCACCTGCCTCCATGGCCCAACCCGGGGGAGTAGAAGCCCCAAGGGTCCTGAGGCGCCCCAGGGTGCAGAAGCTGGAAAAGAGCCTGGTGGGTAGCTTGCAGCAGGGGCCCGGAGGCGTGGGGGGTGCTTCAGAGGGGAAGGGAGGTTACTTCCTGAAACAGTGGAGGGGAAGCTGCAACTCAGAGGAAGTCAGCCTGTGGGTGTGTGAGGTGGCAGTGGTGGGGTTACCATTGAAGGTGTCAGCACACCATCACGCCAAGTTGGAACCTCAGACTAGAGGACCCTGAGCGAGGCCGAGGAGGCTCAGAACGGTTCCAGGATGTGCAGTCCTACTAACCTCCCACTGTTCCCGAGAGAACAGGGAATAAGGAATCTCGTGGGGCCAGGCGGGTTCTCTTCTTCACCTGGCCGCTGGACACACACACATACACACGCACCAACCCCAGCTAAATTTAGACTCCACTTCTGGGAGGTGTAGCCAGGAGTCAGCGTCAGCCTCTTGATTTAACTCTGGGGCACAGACCTGTCCCTCATCCACTGCGGGCGAATGGGAGCCCTATGCCCAAGGCAGCTGGCAGAGGCCATTAGGTGGGACCTTCTAAGGGGCAAGTGGGTGGCACACATCGCAGGACCTGCGCACCAGGGCCTCCCCTCACCAAGCCAGGGAAGAGTCCTGCAGAAAGCAGCCCTTTCTCCTTGGGGAAGGCAGTCGGCACAGGGCCCACTCCGGGTCCCCACGCCCGCGTGCCGGGTGACAGGAAGTTCGGGTTGGGGCAGAGGGCGCGCCGAGGGGGAGGAGGCTGAGGAAGGAGCAGGAGGACAGACAAGCAGGCGCGCCGGCGGCCGAGGACGTGACGGCAGCAGCGCCGGCCGCCGCGTGACCCGAGCAGGAGGGAGGGCGGCTCCGGCTCCGGCTCCGGCACCCGGGGAAGCAGGAGGGGTGCAGGAGGCCGGGCACGGCGAGCTAACTCCGGGCGGTGCCCTCCCCTCCACTTTCACTTCCCCAGGAGAGAGGAACAGGAACCAGATGTGCAGTGCTGGACAGCAGCTGGGGGCCATTCCCCGCCCGCGCTCCCTCCCGTGGGTCCCAGCCTGCCGCCCCGCCCGGTCCAGCCCCTACCTGCCTGCCCCGCGCTTCCCGGCCGGCCGGCCCGCTGGCGGGTGGCTCGGAGGGCGAGCTGGCGGGCCGGCGGGCGGCGGGGCTACCCGGCCCCGGACATGGCGCAACCGACTTGGGCGCCGCTCCCGCCCGGGCTGTGAGTGAAGGAAGAAGAGGCGGCCGAGGACAGCAGAGCGCGGGGCGCCGTGGAGGGAGATCCGGGCGGTCCCCGCGTCCCCGCCGCGCTGCGCCACGCGGGGACTGTGCTGCCGCGCTGCTTGCTCGGGCGGCTCGGTCCTCCCAGCTCCCGCGGCACCGGCACCGGGGACCTAGCGCTCCTCAGCGCGCCCCGCTTTCTCTACTCCCCCCACACCCCCTCCAGGCCGCGGGCGCCGCCGCCGCTATCCTCACCCCCCCTCCTCGGCCGGCGGCCGTGACCCTGGCAAGCGTCTGCCCAGCGCCCAGCCGCCTGCAGCCCGACCCCTGGCGGCTGGGAGGGCCCCCTACACCCAGGTAGCTTCCCACCATCCAGCCCGTTCCGCAGGACACTGACCCCAGGCGACCCTGAGGTCCACGGTACGCTCCCTTCCCTCCTGGGTCCTGAAGTCAGATGTGGCATGCATGATGTGGGCGAAGGTGAAGCCCCAAAGGCCTAGGCTACGGGGACCCAGGTGGCTCTCCCGACTTCCAGGTTTAGGGCACAGAACATTCCCTTCTGGCCAGAACCAGCAGCTCTCAGTTCTCTTTTCTGAAAATGACAAGAGCTTTGGAAAGAGGAAGAGGAGAGGCCAGGACTGCAGGGTGTGGAATAGAGCAGTGGAGGTGGGGGTAAGGTAATTGGGGGGAACTACTATTCTCACAATGCTAGGTGGGGGAGAGAGGAGTGCAGAGGCCCAGACTGCTGGTCCAGGGGCTAGTCACCCAATCCAGAAAGAGAAAACCTTCACAACATGCTGGGCACTGAAGGATCTGTTGTATTAAAACTCAAGTGAATGAGTGGCGAAGGGTGGAGAGGGTGAATTCATGCATGGTGAGGGGGTGGGGATGAAGGCTTCCCTGAGACCTAGGAGCACTTCAGACCTGTGGGCTCAGCCAGCAATCACCTCCTCACCCCCCGACTCACTGCCAGGCCTGGGGTTGAAGAACTTGTCTGACGACTCAAAGTCCCTATCCTCAGAACTGCAGCAGGGCCCTGGACAGACAGGATGACACATGAAGTGATTTCCTGCTGCCATGGAACGGTACATCCATGCTGGGTACAAATTCCAAGGCTGTAGGGCCCTTCCACAAAGCACAGTGGTGCTAAGAAGATGCAAAAAAGCTAACAGATAAAAAGACCCATGGCCCAATAACTCCCTAGATCCCGAGCCATGCCCCAAATCATAACCAACCACACCAAGGGTTTGATATGATTTTTTTATTAACATATAATAATATATTTAATAAAAAATAGTATCCACTCTGGCTCTCTCCTCCACTGCAAGGGGAAGAGTGGTGAGGAGGGGCTGGCACTGCCCACCCCTAAGCATCCGGACAAGCCCGGCCTCCAGGGCTCCCCTCTACCCCCTGCTTTCCAACAGGCTCTGACCTCCAGACAGACGGTTCAAAGTTACAAGTGCTTTAGGCCCTCCCTTGAATTCCCCCAGGCCCACCCCTTGTGCAGAATTCAGGGGCCACCTGGACAAACCCCTTGGTTTTTCTCATTCTTGGGATCCTTCATTCATGCTAGAAAGAGGATCTGGGAGTCTCTACTGGCCAGGGGGAAGGGAGGAAAGGAACGGTAGTAGGGGATGGGACCACAAAGAGGGTTGATGATGAGGTCCCCTCACTGGAGCCGGTCACTGCGGAATGAATCTTCCACAGCAGGATCGGGCAGCAGGGCACAGGGGTCACTCAGCATGTTTAGCCCTTCCAGGCCCAGTGGCTCCATGCGCAGCTCATCTTCTAGCCCTAGCCCTAGCTCCAAGCCTGCTGCTGACACCTCAAAGCCAGGCACTCCGGCCAGGGCTGCTGCAATCTCCTTAGAAAAACCTGGAGAGGAGTCCCCTGTGGGTAGAAGAGACAGGTGAGGACCCTATGCCCTGTAAACTTTTCTAAGACCCCTCAATCTCCTGCTCATCAATGAACACGTCATTCCCTCCTTCCACTTCCCATCACCACCCACCCCCCCTCACCTGCGAGGATGACGTTAGGCCCTGAGCCATGGCGGGAACAGTGGGTCAAGTTCTGGTGGTTGAGGGTGTGGGGATCCTGGGGGCCACCCATTGGCCCCTCACCCCCAAAAAATCCAGGCCCTTCAGAAAAGCCAGGGGGATCCAGCACCAGGCTGGTTGATGGGCTCTCCATGCTGAACTGCTCCAGCTACGGACACATAGACAAATCTTGAGGAAGTAGGGTTTAGAACTGGTATTCCTGCCTAGCCCTGCTGACATACTCCCTTTGCCCAGCAACCTTCAACCACCCCAGGAACAGAGGCAATGACAGAGGGAGGTGGCAGCAAGCAGAGCGACAGAAGCGAGCACGGGGCCCGAAGTAAGTATGGGCACCGTACCTGCTGGGCCAGAGCATGTGCATGCCAGGAAGAGAACGGGTCAAGGCAGAAGTCATCAAAGAGCAAGCTGAGCAGAAATAGAGGGGCGGGAGTAGGGTCAAACGCAGGAAGAGAGGAGCCCAAAGCTGGCAGTGCTATGTTACCCTGGGGGAGAGGAGATCTCCCTACCACCCACCTTGCCTAGATCTCCCCATTCACAGTGCACCAGAGATGACATTCAGGCCCCAATGACCCACCCTGACCCCCTCCCCCTGCTTTTGAGTAAGGAACCTGAGTACTCACATTCCCCAGGTTGAAGTCACTCACTGGCCGGTGGTAAGACAGTTGCCCGTGCCCACTGGGCCCAGGTGGGTACAGCATCCCATAATGAGACTGCCTGCCTGGGGGCTGCCCACCTGACGACTGCACTGAGCAAGACTGAGAAGGCAGTCCTGGCTGCTGTAGAGATTTTGGGGTATGTGGCTGGGTAGGCAGAACCAGATTTGGGGGGCTGTATGGGTATGGGGGCAACCGCTGGTCAGTGGGCAGTTTACTGGTATCCAGGGGGACGCCCTGAAAAGAAGTAAAAAGACGGAAGCTTACCCCTTGGTGTATACTCCAAGAACTCTTAGTCGGGGCTTCCCACCCTCTTTAGCTACAACCATTCTCAAAGCAAATGTGACAACATTCTACATTCTCATGGGCATCGCTGGGGTTGAGTGCAGTTACTCAAAATGTATATCAGTCAGCCAGGTGCAGTCACTTATACCTGTAATCCCAACACTTTGAGAGGCCCGAGGTGGGTAGATCACCTGAAGTCAGGAGTTTGAGACCAGCCTGGCCAACATGGGGAAACCCTGTCTCTACTAAAAATTACGCCAGACACAGTGGCCCACGCCTGTAATCCCAGCACTGTGGGAGGCCGAGGTGGGTGGATCATGAGATTGGGAGTTCGAGACCAGCCTGGTCAACACAGTGAAACCCCGTCTGTACTAAAAATACAAAAATTAGCCAGGCATTGTGACATGTGCCTATAATCCCAGCTACTCAGGAGGGTGAGGCAGGAGAATCTCTTGAACCCGGGAAGCAGAGGTTGCAATGAGCTGAGATCACACCACTGCACACCAGCCTGAGCAGCAGAGCGAGACTCCATCCCACCCCACAAAAATACAAAAATTAGCCAGGCATGATAGTGGGCACCTGTAGTCCTAGCTACTTGGGAGGCTGAGACAGAATTGTTTGAACCCAGGAGGTGGAGATTGCAGTGAGCTGAGATTGTACCACTGCACTCCAGCCTAGGCGACAGAGTGAGAATCTGTCTCAAAAAAAAACCAAAAAAATGCAATGCATATCAGAATGAAAGTGACACGGTGAGGCTAACACATGGGTAATTTTAAATCTACTCCAGGCCAGGCACAGTGGCTCATTCCTGTAATCCCAGCACTTCAGGAGGCCGAGATGGGTGGATCACTTGAACCTGGGAGGTGGAGATTGCAGTGAGCCGAGATCATGCCACAGCACTCTAGTCTGGGTGACTGAGTGAGATGCCTACTCAAAAAATAAATAAATCTACTTCAGAAGCAAACTATTCTCTTTTTTTGAGACAGGCCTCACTCTGTTGCCCAGGCTGGAGTGCAGTGGTGCAGTCATAGTTGGATCTATAGCCTCAACCTTCCTAGCTCAAGAGATCCTCCCATCTTAGCCACCCCGGTAGATAGGACTACAGCGTGCACCACTGCGCCTGGCTAATTTTTTAATTTGTTGTAGATATTGGGTCTCACCAGATTGCCCAGGCTAGTTTCAAACTAGCAATCCTCCCACCTTGGCCTCCCAAAGTGCCGGGATTATAGGCGTGAGCCACTCCACCCAGCCTTATAAGCAAACCATTCTTAAGCCCTGGAATGGAACTATTTATTGTTAGTAATCAAGTGACTGAGGTTGAGAATTGCTGTTCCATAGCCTTGAAGAGGCCAGAGGGAGTGGGAGAAGAAGGAAGGAAAAGGAGAAAGACAGGGAGGGAAGTCAAGCTCACTCCACACTCTGAGAACAGAGCCCTTGCTAGCCTGGTCTGTCTTTCCTACAAAAGAGGGGAACTGAGTAAAGATGGAACATAGAACACACATTCCAGGAACAGCAATGGAGGAGGAAAAAGTTGGACAAAGGAGAGGGAAAAGAACATTTGGATGAAAGAAAAGAGGAGCAGAGATAGCAAACAAGAAGAAAAGGACAGGAAGGGAAACAAGGGCTGAGAATTTCATCACTGAGGAAAAAGCTCAAACTAAGGGGTTTGAGTTCTAGTCTCAACCCTTCCTAACTCGGTGTGTAAACTTGGAAAAGTCACTCTCTCTCT